CCGTCTCTGTAGATAAACGCATTTCCTGCTTCTTGTCCAGCTGCCTCCCCATCCCTCTCTCTCTCTCTTTTAATTTTAATTCCTTGTAACGCCTTTCCTCCCCGCTCTTCGTTTCTCTCGCTCGCTCCGACCCAGTTATTTTCATGGGTCAGGGTAATGTGTGAACGCGCACCTCCCAACTGGGCCTCTTGCTATGTGCGGCGTGGAGCCCGGCCTGAAAACCGGCAACTTTTAAAAATATCTTTGTAAATTTAAAGTATTTTTTTGTGTATAACATGTACGACAGATCATTCTTGCTCGTCAAAGAAGTAAACTTCATAAAATTGAATTTTGTATAACCTTATAGCCTTTTGAAACGAAAATAACTTCCAGGAAACCTACGAAATTCTCTCAGTGTCCTGGGGCCCGGCAGGAAGCAATCGGCGCCGATGCATGGAGCCTCGCTAACCATACAAAGGTCAGGAGGGGTGCCTTGGCCTGACCAGGCTGGCGACTTTACATATTCCGTGTCGCTGCGCCGTGCAAGGGACGGGGGACAGGAGGAGAGTGAAAATGCTGTGTAAGGCGAACAAGGGTCAAAAAATAATTCCAACTACCACTCGCCACCTTTTATTGACAGCCAATGTGTATGGTTGGTTTGTTTTTATCGGTTGTTTTTGTCTTTGGCAGTGCCGGATGCTGTGGAGACACAGACCTTGTAGGAGGAAGCCCGCCGGGGCGGCGTGGTGGGGCGGGGCGGGCGCCAGCGGCGAGGAGTCGAACAGTGATCAGTAGTTTGCTTTCTCCAGTCATCAGTTTTGGAAGAAGTCCCGAAACGACTGGGGAGTCTGGGTGGCGTGGCGTTGCGATGGGGCCGTAAGGGCTGAGGGGGGTGAGGAGGAAGGGGCGAGGTGGTTGGAAGAGGGAGGGAACAGGGTAAAACGGGGGGTGTGGGCGGAGAAGCTGGTTGAACATGGACCTTAGCGACTCTGAGAGCAGGAGTTTGTGCAGCCAGCGCCGTGCTAACGCGCGCAGTGCCAAATGCAAAAGTTGTTTTCAGCTCAAAGATGTTTTGCAAGTTCGGCTCCGAGCGAGGGCGGGACGGGAAGTGCCCTGCACCCTCGCTCCAGGGTAGTACGGGTGGGGGGGTCGTCCGCTGCAGGGAGTGCGGCTGCACCTGTAGTGTTCCCTACGCCTGCTCCGGCCCCCAGGACCGGGGCGCCTGCAACGGGTAAAGGCACGGGTCAGTTGGCGTTACTCTGCTCTGAAGTACACACAGGCTACTAAAGTTTGAGACATGTCTGCACAGAAATCAAGGAAATGTTCAACCATTGATTTCTTTTCCTCCCATAGTTTCATCGCGTTTCTAACAAAAAAATGGGTCCTAGCTTTTTCATTTATAACGACATTTGTGATGTGCTCACCTGTGTGGGCTCCCACTGCAGCGGGCGCGGGCGCTCTCGCTCCCAGTTGACGTGCACGCTGGCCGCACGCTGCAGCTCGTGCCACGCGCTCGTCACGGCCGCGCCGGCCAGCAGCGCCTCCACCTCCTGGCCGAACGCCGTCTCGGTGCGGTCGCCGTTGGCCACCTGACGGGCATTGGAGAAAATTAAAAAAAAAAAAAAAACAGCAAAAAAAAGAAAAAGTAGCAAATAAAAGCAAAACAAAAGCTAAGGAAATGAAAACAAAACAAATATGTTATTTTACACGGTCGTAAAACAATCTTACTTTTTCTATTACATCATGTGAGTTAAAGTCAAGTTTTGTCTGTTTTGGTTTTCAAAAAGTATGTGGTCATGCTTGTAAAAAGACGCGTCGTACCTGTAGGTGCGTGACGTGGCCGGCCCTGACCAGGCCGTAGCGCGTGGCGGCCACGTTCCTCACGCTGCTGTTGTCGTTCTTGCCGAGCAGGTCGCGGCCGTCCACCACGGTGCGGAACCGGTACGTCATGTCCACGAGGAAGGCGCGCAGCAGGTGCGTGTTGTCGCCGGTGCGCAGCGCGCCGCGGATCTGTGCCAATTTGACGAATCGATTTTTGTGTAAGGCTGGAAATTTCCGAAATATTTCCAAAAATCTCCGAAAAATTTCTAAAAATTTCCGAAAAAATTTTGAAAAAAATAAAACGGAAAATTTTCCGGGTCTGGGAATTTATTTCGGAAATTTTCACCTTGAGGGGCTTGAGCTTGACCGTGAAGTAGATGGCGGGCTCGGTGTCATTGACGCCGACCAGGGTGATGTCGCCGGCGCGCAGCCCCGAGACCTCGGTGCCTTCCACCAGGGTCAGCGGCCGCAGCGTGCGGCGCAGCGACGCGTGCTCACGCTGCAATCATTTGTCATCATTTTCGAAACATTTGCGCACAGCAGAGGAGAGTAACAGGAAAGGGTAAAAAGCTAAAAGAAAAAAAAAGAGTTGGCGAAAATGATATCGAACGCGGTCAATATTTAATTTCCAATTAGCTATAGGCGGGGCGATATATCCCGCGCGCAGCACCGCTGCCCCAAACCTCATTGGGAACGGAACTAATGTGGGGAGGAGGTTTAATATTTGAAAGGCGGAATGCGGGGTCCTCGGGGAGACGGGGGCCGCTCTAAGCCCGGGTGGGCCCCAGCCGGGGCCCCAGTCGAGGCCCCCGCAGCCCCGCGCCCCAGGCCGCAACCAGCCAACCAATCTTCTTTCCAGGATGGCCTGAGGCGAGGAGGGGGGGGGGGGCTGGAGGGTAATGGCCCAGATTGGTGCCCCAAGAGGGTAGGCGGCCACGACCGGCCCAGCCCCCAGCCGGGTAACGCCCGGCGGGGTCGCCCCGCTTACCTGCTGCATGACGGTGTCCTCGAAGGCGAGCAGCTCGACGCGGTCCCCGAGGATGAGGAGCAGGTCGTCCCACGCCTTGTGGGCCAGCGCCAGGGCCTGCGAGAAGGAGAGCGCGCACGCCGTCCTGCGGGAGGGAAAGAGACGGGGGGGCGAGTGTGTGTGGTTGCGCGCCAAAAGCATCGTCCGTCCGGCCGGGAAAGGGGAAGGAAAAGGAAAATAAAAAAATGAAAATGGAGGAGCGCGTAGTTGGCGGCGGCTCGTGTGATTCTTTTTTTCTTGCAGCCGGATATATGGCAGAATGTCGAATCCCCTTTTCCATCAACTTGAAAGCCGGGAAAAAAGACGATGGCGACAGGCGAAGCCGCGCGCGGCTCGGTGGGAGAAAAAAAATTGAAATTTGATATGGGCTGGTCGGTCGGGGCCTGGCACACCTGTGGCCCGGCGCCGCGCCCACCACTCTGGCTTTGAAGTCGCAATGAAAGAGAAAGAGGATTAGCCGCGGCTTCACGCATATTGGCCACCACTCGCTTATTGCACGAAATACCTGCACTTTATCGGCCGTCATTTTTTTTTCTTTTTGGTTAGTGCGCGTTTCAATGGATGATTTTGTCTCTATTTCGCTCACCTGCTCGTCTGGTCCGCGTCATTGTAGTTGGCGCCCGCACCACCCGCCAGGACGCCGACGACGACGGCGGCGGCGGCCAGCAGGAGGGCCGCGGCCGGGGCGGGAGCGCTCGCGATCCCCATGGTGGTGGTCGTCGTGGAGCCGCGGCCAGACTGGGGTTCGGGCCCGCCCGATGGTGGCGCTCTGCTCGAGCTGCCGTCCTTGTCTTACCAGTGCAGCGGCCGGGGAGACGGAGGAAGTGCTGTGCATCACTTTGCGTCGGAACACGAACCAGGAGCCCGGCGGCCGGCTCTGGCGGCCTGCTGGGGTCGCTCGAGTGGGCCTTGCTGCTGCTGCTGCTGCTGCTGGTGGTGGTTGTGTCCATAATGCGGGTCAAGATGATGATGCGAGCTGAGCTCGTTTCATGAGCATACCCAGAAATATTGACGCGTACGGCCCTGTTGTGTTACGTTACAGCCCCTTGCTGTTTAAACGACGTAAAATGCACACACGCGCGGCGCGCGCTGTAGTGTCGGCAAAACCGGGTAAAGTTTGGAGTTGGGGGCGGCGGCGGCGGCGCCCGCAGCAGCAGGAGGATGCGGCGGTGGAGGTGAGGTTGAGGTACGCTGAGGAGACTGTAATTTGAACTTGGCGGGTTTACCGCATCGTGTTGCCCCCCTGATAGGTGGTAGTAGGTAGGGGCGTAACATTCG